AAAAAAAAAAAAAAAAAATAACCTGGGTCAAGAGAGAAGACTGTGCTCAAGAATCTGGAGAGAAGCTGCTTTTCATCTTGGAGGGAAACAGGCAGGAAGAGAAATGGGGAGAAGAACTTAAAGCCACAAGGAAGCTCAGAGCAGCTCAGCCAACATGGAGAAAAAACATACTGTTTCCTCCTTGGGGTAAGCGACACTTCAGCTTCCCAGTGAGCCTGGGCCCTGCCAACAGGCCTAAGACCACATCCCCACACTCTGCTCACCTGACAGGGTGCCAGACAAGGCGGCATCCAATGTGGACACTTGGAAGAGCCTCAGAGCCTCCTCCACATCTGCCTCTGTGGCAAAGGGCTGCAGCTTCATCTTGCTGAGGGACTCAGCGATGCGCACGATGGCCTCCAGCTGCCTGGGGAACAGGGTGCTCAGGTCAACCTTAGCCCTCTCTTCCCTCCCTGGCTGCCTGGCACCAGGGAGGTGCTTGCCCGGACAGTAAGGCTATGGTGGAGAGTACCAGCTGTCCCCATCATCCACCTCCCTTTTTATCTTGGTCACAGAACCCCAATGTTTATTCCAACACATAGCAAGCCGCCACATGAACCCGAGGGAGCCCAGGCGATGGCTGCTGGCAACTCTGAGGCACCGGCACACCAGTCCTGCACCACCTACCACCATACAGTCTTACATAAGAGAATTAAACTTCTCATTGCCCTACGCTATTTATCTGCATTTGCCATTACACGCAGCCAAATCCACCTCTAACTAATCAGTGCTGGAGGCAGGATTCAAACCAGATAGATGCCAGCTCTTACCCACTTTACGGCCTCTATAAACTCACAAGAATGAGCAGAGTTCAGAGCTGAGAAAATGAAGGCCCAAAGAAGGACAGCAATTTCTCTGTAGTCACATAGTGGCAAGAGGCTGGGACTCAGGTCTCTTGACTCCAATACCTGAGTGCTCCCCTCCCCTCAGGCTTCCCCCCAATGGAAAAGCCAGACCAAATTCACAACAAAGGATTCCAGGTTCCCCCACCCTCAAATCAACCAAGGAATACAAATAATCCAGAAGTCCACAGCTTATGCTCCAGAAAGACTTCTGCCCAGTACTACCAGGAGCCTGGGCCAAGTGGTTAGCCATGGGCACTGTCCAGTTACACCTTGTTTTGTAAAGCGAGGGCCATCTGCCCTGGCCCAGCTCTGCCCGCCTGCTCACCGCACAGTGATGGGGATGCTGGAGCGGCGGTCGCTGTCCCTCTCGTGCTGACGGGCCCCACTCCGCATGATAATATAGCGGTTCTTCAGCTTCTCCGCAGCCTCCGCTGACAGCCGAGGGCCACATTTCCTGCAGGACAGTAGGGAGCAGTTGGTGAGAGGCCAGAATGGAATGGGGTACCTACCTTGCCCCCAGCACTCTGCTGGCTTACAGACATGCACCTTCCCATGAAACCACAGCTGCCTGTTCCCGTGGGCCAAGGACAACACCTGGACAGGATGCAGGTGAAACCTGGGCCAGCTATGAGTGAGGACCACAGAGATCAACACAGGAGAGAAATAGGCAGCTCTACCCCAACACATCTGAGGATGACATCCACAGAGGCTCAGCAGGGGCTGCAATTTAGGTGCCACCAACCACATTAGACTCCTGGGAGGGTGGATACAGGGAGGTCTCCTCCCCTTCTAATCCTCCACCCCAGGCCGACTGACAACCACTAATGATTGGAAGACTGAAGCTCAAAGAGAGGGAGGGAGCTCCACAAGGCTACCGAGAACCTTGTTATAAAGGAAGACTAGGGCCAGGCACAGCAGCTAACACCTGTAGTCCTAGCACTCTGGGAGGCCAAAGTGGATGGATTACTTGAAATCAGAGTTTGAGACCAGCCTGAGCAAGAGCAAGACCCTAGCTCTACTAAAAATAGAAAAACTAGACAGGGATTGTGGTCTAGCTACTCAGGAGGCTGAGGCAAGAGGATCACTTGAGCCCAAGAGTGTGAGGTTGCTGTAAGCTATGATGCCACAGCATTCTACTGAGGGTGACCAAATGAGACGGTCTCAAAAAAAACTTAATCTGAAGGAGAAAAGATGAAAAAAGAAAAGAAATAGATAAATTAGGGGTGACATCAGGGTGGCAGCGAGTCACTGACATGCAGCAATCGGAGCCAAGGAGGCTGAGCTGTGTCCTTGCTTTCCCCACCCTGGTTCCCTGGGTCACGTGCTGCTTTAGAAGCATTCTCAGGTGAAGAGATGGCATTTGTGAAGAGTGGATGGTTGCTGCGACAGAATACTATTTTGAAACACTGGAAGAATTGGCTTGATCTGTGGTTGGATGTTCACCTGATCTATTATGATGACCAGACCCGTCAGAGTATTGAGGACAACATTCACATGCCAGTGGACTGCATCAACATCTGCATGGGGCATGAATGTCAGGATATTCAGCCTCCAAAAGGGAAGTCAAAAGACTGTAAGCTGCAGATTGTTTGCTGAGATGGGAAAACTATCAGTCTTTGTGCAGAAAGTACAGATGATTGTTTGGCGTGGAAATTTACACTCCAGGATTCTAGGACAAACACAGTATATGTGGGTTCTACGGTCATGACTGATGAGACAGCTGTGGTTTCTTCCCCTCTTCCGTACAGGGCGTATGCCACACCGACACCTGAGCAGGTATATGGCTATGGTCCACATGGTGGTGCATACGCACCAAGAACTAAAGTTGTCTATGCTACAAATGGGCAAGCGTATGCTGTGCCCTACCAGTACCCTATGCAGGACGTTACAGACAGCAGCCTACCAACCAAGTCATCATCTGTGAACTGTATCATGACAACAGTGATTTGGCACTGGGCATGCTGGCTGGTACGGCCACAGGCATGGCCTTAGGCTCTCTCTTCTGGGTCTTCTAGAGGCTTTGAGATCTTGATGTGCACCGCTCCTAATAACCCCATGTGCAATGATAGGATCTGCAGGGCGTTTCTGTTTGTGACACACATTTTTAATCATAGTTGTAATAGTTCCTTTGAAAGTAGTAATGTCTTAATTGTAACTGATCCATATAAGTATCTCAGAGGAGGGTTTGCACTGTGCTGTTTAGGTGAACACGAACTCTTTAGGGGCACGAGCTCATTCCTAATGCAACTCTTGGAATACTTTATTTGAATATACCTATTTTGAAAGGCATTTTCTTTTTAGAGTTGAGTGTAGCAACTTTAGGGATAATTTATTTTTGTGTTGTGCCAGTAATATAGTGCTGTGTAAGTAAATGAGTGATCATGCCAAGAAAAAAAAAAAAAAGAAATAGATAAATTAGCCATGTGTGGTGGTGCAGACTGTAGTTCGACCTACTCAGAGGCAGAGGTGGGAGGACTGTTTGAGGCCAGAAGTTTGAGGTTGCAGTGAGCTCTGATCTCACCACTGTACTCTCATCTGGGTGACAGAGCCAGACTCTACCTCAAAAGCAAACAAAAAGACAATCAAGGCTCGGCGCCTGTGGCTCAAGCGGCTAAGGCGCCAGCCACATACACCTAAGGTGGTGGGTTCGAATCCCCAGCCCAGGCCGCCAAACAACAATGATGGCTGCAACCAAAAAATGGCCAGGCGTTGCGGCAGGCGCCTGTAGTCCTGCCTGAGGCAGGAGACTCGCTTGAGCCCAGGAGTTGGAGGTTGCTGTGAGTGTGATGCCATGGCACTCTACCCAGAGGGATAGCTTGAGGCTCTGTCTCAAAAAAAAAAAGACAATCAAGGAGGTGTGTGTCTGAGCATTGTGTTTAAGAGCACAGCCTCTCAGGCAGTTCCTGGGGTTCACTTCCTGGCTGTATTACCTCCTCCATCAGATCTTAGACAAGTTACTTCACCTTCCTTTGCCTGAGCTTCATCTATAAAATAGAACAGCAGTACATCTAATTTTGTAGGGCTTAGGGGAAGGTTAAAGTTCATTCCTACATAAAATACTCAGAATGCCTGGCACAAAATAAGTACTATGTGCATAATCATATTATTGAATATCTATGAGAATATAATTAAAGTTGTAGCTGCCACTTACTATTAACTTAGGGCAGGGCTATGCTAAGCACTTACTTATCATCTTATACAGTCCCTATAAAAACCCTAGGAAACACCAACCTGAGGAAACCAAGGCTCAGAAAGGTCCACTGACTTGTCCCAGGTCACAGCAGTGGAGGTAGGTATTATCCAGAGCCGGTGACCATGGTATCCACACTGCACTGCCTCCCTACATCTACATCCCACCCACTCAGTGTGGAGATGGGGAAATTGAAGCCAAGAGCCACAGCTGACCTGTGCAAGGTCAAAAAGGAGCAGAGCTAGACAAAACAGCGTGCAGGGCATCATGTAAGGAGCACCAACACCAGGACTCTGGGCTCTCTCCCACAGGGAAGCAGGGCAACCTTATCCCCATGGGCCTAGACCCAGGACTCACGCTCGGCAGTAGGCAATGAACTTCTTCAGCTTGGCCAGGTCAATCTCGCCCTCTACGGCCTGTGTCTGTGTCAGTGCACTCACGTGCAGAGTGATGACATGTTTGGCCAGCATCTAGGAGGCAGAGGGGACACCAGGTCAGCACATAGGCCCTCCTGAGCATGAGTCCAAACACAGAAGTGAAGCAGGCAGAGGAGCTGATGGGGCCCTGGTAACATAGAGCTGGAAAAAGCATTCAGATGTCAGGCAATCTCATCCTGTTTGCTCAGCACCAGCTCTGCCTTCTGAGAGGAGTGTGTGCATTCTCTTTAATGCTTCTTGCTCTCCTGCCCCATCCATGTGGCTCGAATGGGGGTTCAGCCTGCATACTCACTCACTGGGGTAATTCTGCTTCAAGGACTGGCATTTGATCTATCCAAACCAATGGGAGTCCACTGTATGACTTTTGTTATACCTATTGGAAAAAAGGCCTCTTCTCTCCCTAAAGGCTGTTAAGCTAAAAGCTATTAAATTTTCCTACCAGAAGGGGAGCAGCTGCCCCAAAACAAAACATCCACCAAAGGAAGCAAAGTAGAGAGGCAGAGACAGAGCTTTCTGAGAAGACGCTTTCTTTTTTTTTTGGCCAGGGCTGGGTTTGAACCCGCCACCTCTGGCATATGGGACTGGTGCCCTATCCTTTTGAGCCACCGATGCCGCCCCTGAGAAGACACTTTCATCTGGGCCTTCAGCCTCGGGACTTGTCGATTCTATAAGCCATTAAGTTCTTTTCTTCCTGGCTCGGCGCCTATAGCTCAACCGGCTAAGGCGCCAGCCACGTACACCTAAGGTGGCGGGTTTGAATCCCCAGCCCGGACCCGCCAAACAACAATGATGGCTGCAACCAAAAAATAGCCGGGCGTTGTGGCGGGCGCCTGTGGTCCCAGCTACTTGGGAGGTGGAGGCAGGAGACTCGCTTGAGCCCAGGAGTTGGAGGTTGCTGTGAGCTGTAATGCCACGGCACTCTGCCCAGGGGGACAGCTTGAGGCTCTGTCTAAAAAAAAAAAAAAAAAAAAAAAAAAAAAAGTTCTTTTCTTCCAGACTGGAGTTCAATTACTCATAATCCAATGTCACCTCCTCCATTTCATATATAAAGGACTAAGGGGGCAGCACCTGTGGCTCAGTGAGTAGGGCGCCAGCCCCATATACCGAGGGTGGTGGGTTCGAACCCAGCCCCGGCCAAACTGCAACAAAAAAATAGCCAGGCGGGCATTGTGGTGGGCACCTGTAGTCCTAGCTACTTGGGAGGCTGAGGCAAAAGAATCAGCTAAGCCCAAGAGCTGGAAATTGTTATAAGCTGTGATGCCGCGGCACTCTATCAAGGGCAACAAAGTAAAACTGTCTCTAAAAACAAAAAACGGATAAAGGCCCAGGGAGAGAGCAGAGCCAGGCCATAGGACCCCAGACCTCTGCTTCAGCGCTCTGCAGTCTGCAACCAGCCTCATCTCATACTGGCCAATCTCATTTGGGACTCCATTGGCCAAGGCCCCTTTGCACACCAGAGCCTCTGACGCCAGACCCCTAGGCCACCAACCCTGTCCTGCACGCACCACATCCCTCTCCTCATTATGCTCGTCCTTGACAATGAAGATCATGTCGAAGCGGGACAAGATGGTGGGCATGAAGTCAATGTTGTCCTCTCCCTTCGTTTCATCCCAGCGGCCAAACACTGAGTTGGCGGCAGCCAGGACAGAGCACCGGGAGTTCAGGGTAGTGGTGATCCCAGCCTAAAGGGACAGAGTAGGGGGACAAGATGACAAACAGCCCTGCGGCATGCCTCTCATGCACTCACATGCACACTCGACTGCAGGTCTGGGCAAACTCGATCCCAGCCAACCAGAGCAGCCTGAGGAGGGTGGGGCCGGGCTGGTCTCTGCAGGGAGGCTGCTCACCTTGGCGATGGAGATGGTCTGCTGCTCCATGGCTTCATGGATTGCCACGCGGTCATCTTCTCTCATCTAAGCAGAGAAATGTCCATCAGACCCATCCAGGCAAGGAGGGCAGGGAATAGCAGTGGCAGGAAAGCTAGCAGCAGCTACCATTTCTGAGTTCCACCTCCATGCCAGGAACTGGGTCACTTCTAAGCATGGTGACAACTGTGTGGACTTGGCTTTCCTCTCCCCACTCTCCAGATATAAACACTGAGGCCTGGAAAGGTTAAGCAACTTTCCAGTTATTCCACAGTGACAGGCCTAAGGACTGAACACAAGTCTCCCAAATCTAAGGTGGTCTCTGCTAGCTGAGCACAGGTCACATACCTCAGCCCCACAGCTACAGCTGCCACCTAACCTGCCAGACTCACCTTGTCAAACTCATCAATACAGACGACCCCACCATCAGCCAGGACCATGGCTCCGCCCTCCATGATGAAGTTCCGGGAAGAGGGGTCCCTCATCACTGAGGCTGTCAGTCCAGCCGCACTGCTGCCTTTCCCAGACGTGTACACCTGGTAGGCAGGGGGAGTTGTCAAGGACCAATAAAAGTTCCATGCTTTGACCCCAGTAAGTCAAGGGGACCCAGAGGGTTATGATTTGCCCCAAGTCAAACATCCCAACTGGCTCTAGGACACAGAACAGAATTCAAGGTTCCAACTCAGTGCTCCTCCCTCTGGAAGGGGAGGTCACCCTGGGCCTCAGTGAAGCCCAATGATCTCCCCGGGAGGGCACTGCATCCCTGAGCCTCACACAGTCCTGAGATATAGCCCTGAGGGGCCCACCTCACAGATGAGTAAACAGGCTCAAAGAAGGGGAACTGGCCTCAAGGCTGGGATAGAGGGTCCCCACCTTGAGGCCCTTGTCATCTTTATATAGATCTATGTGCCACATGCTGCCAGTGAGCCCCTGAAATGGGGTAAGTCCCAAATGAGATGTCTTTAGGCACAAAATCACATGAATTCTAGAGATTCAATGCTAACAAGAATGTACAATATCAGGGCCAGGCAAGGTGGCTCCTGCCTGTAATTCTAGCACTCTGGGAGGCCGAAGTAGGTGGATTGCCTGAGCTCACAAGTTTGAGACCAGTCTAAAACAGAGCAAGACCTCATTTCTATAAATAGCCGGGCATTGTGGCGGACACCTGTAGTTCCAGCTACTCAGGAGCCTGAGGCAAGAGAATTGCCTAAGCCCAAGAGTTTGAGGTTGCTGTGAGGTATGACACCACGGCATTCTACCGAGGGTGACAAAATGAGACTGTCTCAGACAAACAAAAAAAAAGAATGTGCAGTATGTCTCATTAATAACCATCTATATTAAACTGCATGGTTTTTTTTTGTGGTTTTTTTTTTTGAGACAGAGCCTCAAGCTGTCCCCCTGGGTAGAGTGCCGTGGCATTACAGCTCACAGCAACCTCTAACTCCTGGGCTCAAGCGAGTCTCCTGCCTCAGCCTCCTGAGTAGCTGGGACCACAGGCGCCAGCCACAATGCCCGG